TTTTCTTACTACGGTTGGAATAAGTGTACAAAAATTGAACTAATGCCGAGTTTTGTACCTTAAAGTTCTGACTGAAACATCTAGAAATCAAAGTGCATGTGCTTTTTGTTTTTACTCTTTCCTATTTTTCCTTAAAAAATTTGTGCCAAGACTTAAGCATATATTGACCTGCGTCTAAAGCAAGATCGTAATCTCAAAAACAAATAATGAAACGTCGATCGTGGACGGACACAAATTGTTCGAAAAGCTTATGAAAAAATGACAACTGAAAGCTGAACTTACTTTTCGAAAAATCAAAGCACATATGAGCACTAAGATTGCAAACGAGAGAAGTTGTTTGTCTGGATTTGGAGTGTCGTAGTATTCTTCCATTTCTTGTCTGGAAATTGGGGAAACGTTTTGGCAGGATCTAGTTTGAGAAACAACGGATCGCATATTTGAAATTTTGATATTTACCTGGCATTACGCCAATGCTCATTCAGATCAAAGAGCGGATATGTCCACCAAATCCATGGTTTTACTGGACCCATTGTGTAGTGATAAATAATCGGCTCCACCAAAGCCCTTCCTCCTTGGACATAGTACATCGCTATGTCGTAGTTAAAAGCGGCCGTGAGCCTGATAATACCTGGACTGCTGTTATTTTCCACCAAGGCTGGACTTTCAAATATCAAAAATCCTCTTACCTCCTCTGGTCCGACTGATAACGCTGATTATTTGGATGCTCGTGGTCAAACATAGGGGCAAACTTCAACTGATCAAAGTAGGAATTCATAAAGCCCTGATCTCCACCATCATAGGTGGGTAGTTCAGGCGCTTTGGCTAATAAATCCTGATAGACCTAGGAAAAACGTCTCATTATATCTTTTACGGTTGACAGCCAGAACGAGAATGTGCTACCGTAATATTTGGCTTCAAGACCAACAGTCCAGCATTGAACTTGTCCGAATGACGAAATGTTGCACAAAATGAGCCACATTGAAAGAACGGCGTTATATCTCGCATAGGTAAGACGTCCAAGTC